ACTGAGTTAGTGAGTGGCTGAGTGAGTGACTGACTGACTGAGTGACTGAGTGAGTGACTGAGTGACTGAGTGAGTGAGTGACTGAGTGAGTGAGTGACTGAGTGACTGAGTGACTGAGTGAGTGACTGAGTGACTGAGTGAGTGAGTGAGTGACTGAGTGACTAAGTGACTGAGTGACTGAGTGAGTGAGTGACTGAGTGACTGAGTGAGTGAGTGAGTGACTGAGTGACTGAGTGACTAAGTGACTGAGTGACTGAGTGAGTGAGTGGGTGACTGAGTGACTGAGTGAGTGAGTGAGTGACTGAGTGACTGAGTGAGTGAGTGACTGAGTGAGTGAGTGAGACTTTCTTAGGCCTTGAATCCCAACACCTCCAGACCTGCTTGGAGATGTGACTGACATCAGCGCCACGTATCCCTCTGTAATGAGTCGTGAGCAACGTCGACTTCCATCGTCAAATATCATCATCGGCATCAGCCTACAGCCTGCTCACTCGTGGATGAGTGGGTGAGTGAGTGGGTGGGTGAGTGAGTGAGTGGGTGAGTGAGTGAGTGGGTGAGTGGGTGAGTGAGTGAGTGGGTGAGTGGGTGAGTGAGTGGGTGGGTGAGTGAGTGAGTGGGTGAGTGAGTGGGTGAGTGGGTGGGTGGGTGAGTGGGTGAGTGAGTGGGTGAGTGAGTGGGTGGGTGGGTGAGTGAGTGAGTGGGTGAGTGAGTGAGTGGGTGAGTGAGTGAGTGGGTGGGTGAGTGGGTGAGTGAGTGGGTGGGTGAGTGAGTGAGTGGGTGAGTGAGTGGGTGAGTGGGTGAGTGGGTGGGTGGGTGAGTGGGTGAGTGAGTGGGTGAGTGAGTGAGTGGGTGGGTGAGTGAGTGAGTGGGTGGGTGAGTGAGTGGGTGGGTGGGTGGGTGAGTGAGTGGGTGAGTGGGTGGGTGAGTGAGTGGGTGAGTGAGTGAGTGGGCTGGTGAGTGGGTGGGTGGGTGGGTGAGTGAGTAAGTGAGTGGGTGGGTGAGTGGGTGAGTGGGTGGGTGGGTGAGTGGGTGGGTGAGTGGGTGAGTGAGTGAGTGAATGGGTGAGTGGGTGGGTGGGTGAGTGAGTGGGTGAGTGAGTGGGTGAGTGGGTGGGTGGATGGGTGAGTGGGTGGGTGGGTGGGTGAGTGGGTGGGTGAGTGAGTGGGTGGGTGGGTGAGTGAGGGAGTGAGTGGGTGAGTGAGTGAGTGGCTGGGTGAGTGAGTGGGTGAGTGAGTGGGTGGGTGGGTGAGTGAGTGGGTGAGTGGGGGGGTCAGTGAGTGGGTGGGTGAGTGAGTGGGTGAGTGAGTGGGTGGGTGAGTGGGTTGGTGAGTTAGTGGGTGAGTGAGTGAGTGAGTGGGTTAGTGAGTGAGTGAGTGGGTGAGTGAGTGGGTGAGTGGGTGGGTGGGTGAGTGGGTGGGTGAGTGGGTGAGTGAGTGAGTGGGTGGGTGGGTGAGTCGGTGGGTGAGTGGGTGAGTGGGTGAGTGAGTGGGTGAGTGGGTGAGTGGGTGGGTGAGTGGGTGGGTGGGTGGGTGAGTGGGTGGGTGGGTGGGTGGGTGAGTGGGTGGGTGGGTGAGTGGGTGGGTGAGTGAGTGCGTGGGTGAGTGAGGGAGTGAGTGGGTGAGTGAGTGAGTGGCTGAGTGAGTGAGTGGGTGAGTGAGTGGGTGGGTGGGTGAGTGGGTGAGTGGGTGGGTCAGTGAGTGGGTGAGTGAGTGACTGAGTGAGTGACTGAGTGAGTGAGTGAGTGACTGAGTTAGTGAGTGGCTGAGTGAGTGAGTGACTGACTGAGTGACTGAGTGAGTGACTGAGTGACTGAGTGAGTGACTGAGTGAGTGAGTGACTGAATGACTGAGTGAGTGACTGAGTGAGTGAGTGGGTGAGTGAGTGAGTGGCTGAGTGAGTGGCTGAGTGAGTGAGTGGGTGAGTGAGTGGGTGAGTGAGTGGCTGAGTGAGTGGCTGAGTGAGTGAGTGAGTGGCTGAGTGAGTGGCTGAGTGAGTGAGTGGCTGAGTGAGTGAGTGGGTGAGTGAGTGAGTGAGTGGGTGAGTGGGTGAGTGAGTGAGTGAGTGGCTGAGTGAGGGGCTGAGTGAGTGAGTGGGTGAGTGAGTGGGTGAGTGAGTGAGTGGCTGAGTGAGTGGGTGAGTGGGTGAGTGAGTGGGTGAGTGGGTGAGTGTATTTCTGTCTCTTCCTCTCCATCTCTCTCCATGATAATGGTGATGATGGTGATGGTGGTAGTGGTGATGGTGGTAATGAAGGTGATGATGGTAATGATGGTGGTGATTATGGTGATGGTGGTGATGATGATGGTGGTAATGATGATGGTGGTGATGACGATAATGATTTTACACTTCCACTCGCCACATCATTCGGAATGTTTATTCAAAGGAATTTTGACTTCAAATCGTCACAGAAAACTACAGAGTACCATAATACCAACACACAGTACCATCACCATAAACTTGTCTCTACACCGAGTGTCTACACCCTGTCTACACCCTGTGTGTCTACACCCTGTCTGTCTACACCCTGTCTACACCCTGTCTGTCTACACCCTGTCTACACCCTGACTACACCCTGAGTGTCTACACCTGGACTCTGGACGAGACTTTCTTAGGCCTTGAATCCCAACACCTCCAGACCTGCTTGGAGATGTGACTGAGTGGGTGAGTGAGTGAGTGGGTGAGTGAGTGGGTGGGTGAGTGAGTGGGTGGGTGAGTGAGTGAGTGGGTGAGTGAGTGGGTGGGTGAGTGAGTGGGTGGGTGAGTGAGTGAGTGGTTGAGTGAGTGAGTGGGTGAGTGAGTGGCTGAGTGAGTGAGTGAGTGACTGAGTGACTGAGTGAGTGACGGAGTGACTGAGTGAGTGAGTGGGTGAGTGAGTGGGTGGGTGAGTGAGTGGGTGAGTGAGTGGGTGAGTGAGTGAGTGGGTGGGTGAGTGAGTGAGTGAGTGGTTGGGTGAGTGAGTGGGTGAGTGAGTGAGTGGTTGAGTGAGTGGGTGGGTGAGTGAGTGACTGAATGAGTGACTGAATGAGTGAGTGAGTGACTGAGTGAGTGGCTGAGTGAGTGGCTGAGTGAGTGAGTGAGTGGCTGAGTGAGTGAGTGGCTGAGTGAGTGGCTGAGTGAGTGAGTGGCTGAGTGAGTGAGTGGCTGAGTGAGTGAGTGGCTGAGTGAGTAGCTGAGTGTCTCTCTGTCTCTTCCTCTCCATCTCTCTCCATGATGATGGTGGTAATGATGATGGTGGTGATGATGACGATAATGATTTTACATTTTCACTCGCCACATCATTCGGAATGTTTATTCAAAGGAATTTTGACTTCAAATCGTCACAGAAAACTACAGAGTACCATAATACCAACACACAGTACCATCACCATAAACTTGTCTCTACACCGAGTGTCTACACCCTGTCTGTCTACACCCTGTCTGTCTACACCCTGTCTACACCCTGACTACACCCTGAGTGTCTACACCTGGACTCTGGACGAGACTTTCTTAGGCCTTGAATCCCAACACCTCCAGACCTGCTTGGAGATGTGACTGAGTGGGTGAGTGAGTGAGTGGGTGAGTGAGTGGGTGGGTGAGTGGGTGAGTGAGTGGGTGAGTGAGTGAGTGGGTGAGTGAGTGGGTGAGTGGGTGAGTGAGTGAGTGGGTGAGTGAGTGGCTGAGTGGGTGGATGGGTGAGTGGGTGGGTGAGTGGGTGAGTGGGTGAGTGAGTGAGTGGCTGAGTGAGTGAGTGACTGAGTGAGTGACTGAGTGAGTGGCTGAGTGAGTGAGTGACTGAGTGGGTGAGTGAGTGAGTGACTGAGTAAGTGACTGAGTGAGTGACTGAGTGAGTGAGTGGCTGAGTGAGTGAGTGGCTGAGTGAGTGAGTGAGTGGCTGAGTGAGTGAGTGACTGAGTGAGTAACTGAGTGAGTGGCTGAGTGAGAGAGTGACTGAGTGGGTGAGTGAGTGACTGAGTAAGTGACTGAGTGAGTGACTGAGTGAGTGAGTGAGTGTCTGAGTGAGTGAGTGGGTACCTGAGTGAGTGGGTGAGTGGGTAGCTGAGTGAGTGGATGAGTGAGTGAGTGAGTGGCTGAGTGAGTGGGTGAGTGAGTGAGTGACTGAGTGAGTGGCTGAGTGAGTGGCTGAGTGAGTGGGTGAGTGAGTGAGTGAGTGACTGAGTGAGTGGCTGAGTGAGTGGCTGAGTGAGTGGGTGAGTGAATGAGTGAGTGACTGAGTGAGTGGCTGAGTGAGTGGCTGAGTGAGTGACTGAGTGACTGAGTGAGTGAGTGACTGACTGAGTGAGTGTCTGAGTGAGTGGCTGAGTGAGTGACTGAGTGAGTGGCTGAGTGACTGAGTGAGTGGCTGAGTGAGTGGCTGAGTGAGTGAGTGAGTGACTGAGTGAGTGAGTGGCTAAGTGAATGACTGAGTGAGTGAGTGAGTGGCTGAGTGAGTGAGTGGGTGACTGAGTGAGTGAGTGACTGAGTGAGCGAGTGAGTGACTGAGTGACTGAGTGAGTGAGTGACTGAGTGACTGAGTGAGTGACTGAGTGAGTGACTGAGTGAGCGAGTGAGTGACTGAGTGACTGAGTGAGTGACTGAGTGAGTGAGTGACTGAGTGAGTGAGTGAGTGACTGAGTGACTGAGTGAGTGACTGAGTGAGTGAGTGAGTGACTGAGTGAGTGACTGAGTGACTGAGTGAGTGACTGAGTGAGTGACTGAGTGAGTGAGTGACTGAGTGAGTGAGTGAGTGACTGAGTGAGTTACTGAGTGAGTGAATGAGTGACTGAGTGACTGAGTGATTGAGTGAGTGACTGAGTGAGTGAGTGACTGAGTGACTGAGTGAGTGACTGAGTGACTGAGTGAGTGAGTGGCTGAGTGAGTGACTGAGTGACTGAGTGAGTGAGTGAGTGACTGAGTGACTGAGTGACTGACTGAGTGAGTGAGTGAGTGGCTGAGTGAGTGACTGAGTGAGTGAGTGGCTGAGTGAGTGACTGAGTGAGTGAGTGGCTGAGTGAGTGGCTGAGTGAGTGAATGGCTGAGTGAGTGACTGAGTGAGTGACTGAGTGACTGAGTGAGTGACTGAGTGAGTGACTGAGTGAGTGAGTGACTGAGTGGTGACGTCACGGCAGGGATTTCTCTCTCTTGAAGTTCACGCAGCGACCCTGAAACACAAAGCAGAGGGCACAGCACACTGTACACACTGTATACACTGTGCACACTGTACACACTGTACACACTGTATATACCGTACACGCTGCACACTGTACGCACTGTACACGCTGCTCACTGTATGCACTGCATCACACACCACGCGTGCGCACTGTACACACTGTTCCAATTGGCGCAGTTATTCTACACAGTATCCACTGTATGCGCACACTGTACCTACTGTACTAAAGCCACGTGCACAAACTGTACACATTGTACGAAATGCCGCACTGTACAGTGTGGGCGTTCCTCGCACGAGCACTGCGCACACTGTACACACTGTATGTACAGTGTGCGCGGTGTTTATACGCTGCGCACACTGTACATGCATGTACAGTGTGCTGTGCCGAATGTGCACTGCGCACTGTACAGTTCACTGTGCGTGCACTGTGCGCGGACTGTATGTGCACTGTATGCGAACTGTACGCGAGACGTAGCGCACTGTACGTGCGCTGTACGTGCACTGTACGTGCACTGTGCGTGTGCTGTTCGTGTACTGTACGTGTACTGTACGTGCACTGTACGTGCACAGTACGTGCACTGTACGTGCACTGTGCGTGTACTGTGCGTGCAATGTCCGTGTACTGTACGTGCACAGTACGTGCACTGTACGTGTACTGTAGTGCACTGTGCGTGTACTGTGCGTGCAATGTCCGTGTACTGTACGTGCACAGTACGTGCACTGTACGTGTACTGCACGTGTATTGTATGTGCACTGCACGTGCACTGTTTGTGCACTGTACGTGTACTGTGTGTGTACTGTACGTGCACTGTACGCGCACCGCACGTGCACTGTATGCGCACTGTACGTGCGCTGTATGAGCACTGTACGTGTACTGTATGTGCACTGTACGTGTACTGTGCGTGCACTGTACGTGCACTGTACGTGTACTGTACCGTCTCGCCAGGCTGAGGTCTCATCACAGCCACGCGTCCATAGACCCTCGCAAGCCACGCCCCCAACACCTAGACAGACAACAATTTATATACATGTATAGTACACACATGTATAGTGTGTAGTGTATACATGTATAGTGTGTATAGTTTATACATGTATAGTACACACATTATACATGTATAGTGTGTAGTGTATATATACATGTATAGTGTGTATAGTTTATACATGTATAGTACACACATTATACATGTATAGTGTGTATAGTTTATACATGTATAGTACATATATGTATAGTGTGTAGTGTATACATGTATAGTGTGTATAGTTTATACATGTATAGTGTGTATAGTTTATACATGTATAGTGTGTATAGTTTATACATGTATAGAACACACATTATACATGTATAGTGTGTGTAGTGTATATACATGTATAGTGTGTAGTTTATACATGTATAGTGTGTATACTTTATACATGTATAGTACACACATTATACATGTATAGTGTGTAGTTTATACATGTATAGTGTGTATAGTGTGTATAGTGTATATACGTGTATAGTGTGTATAGTGTGTATAGTGTATATACGTGTATAGTGTGTATAGTGTGTATACATGTATAGTGTGTATAGTGTATATACATGTATAGTGTGTATAGTGTATATACATGTATAGTGTATATAGTGTATAGTGTATATAGTGTATACATGTATAGTGTATATAGTGTGTATACATGTATAGTGTGTATAGTGTGTATACATGTATAGTGTGTATAGTGTGTATACATGTATAGTGTGTATAGTGTATATACATGTATAGTGTGTATAGTGTGTATAGTGTATACATGTATAGTGTATACATGTATAGTGTATATACGTGTAAAGTGTGTATAGTGTATATACATGTATAGTGTGTATAGTGTATATACATGTATAGTGTGTATAGTGTGTATACATGTATAGTGTGTATAGTGTATATACATGTATAGTGTGTATAGTGTGTATACATGTATAGTGTGTATAGTGTGTATAGTGTGTATACATGTATAGTGTGTATAGTGTGTATACATGTATAGTGTGTATAGTGTGTATAGTGTGTATACATGTATAGTGTGTATAGTGTATATACATGTATAGTGTGTATAGTGTGTATACATGTATAGTGTATATACATGTATAGTGTGTATACATGTATAGTGTGTATAGTGTGTATACATGTATAGTGTGTATAGTGTATATACGTGTATAGTGTGTATAGTGTGTATACATGTATAGTGTATATAGTGTATAGCGTATATAGTGTATACATGTATAGTGTATATACTGTGTATACATGTATAGTGTGTATAGTGTATATACATGTATAGTGTATATAGTGTGTATACATGCATAGTGTGTATAGTGTGTATACATGTATAGTGTGTATAGTGTATATACATGTATAGTGTGTATAGTGTGTATACATGTATAGTGTATACATGTATAGTGTATACATGTATAGTGTATATAGTGTATACATGTATAGTGTATACATGTATAGTGTATAGTGTATACATGTATAGTGTGTACATGTATAGTGTATATAGTGTATACATGTATAGTGTATATAGTGTGTATAGTGTACAGTGTATACACATGTATAGTGTGTATAGTGTATATACATGTATAGTGTGTATAGTGTATATACATGTATAGTGTATATACATGTATAGTGTGTATAGTGTATACACATGTATAGTGTATAGTGTATATACATGTATAGTGTGTATACGTGTATAGTGTATACATGTATAGTGTGTACATGTATAGTGTATATAGTGTATACATGTATAGTGTATATAGTGTATACATGTATAGTGCATAGTGTATACATGTATAGTGAAGTTAGTTATACCTGCAAGTGCGTTATACCTGCAAGTGAGTTACACCTACAAGTGAGTTGTACCTGCAAGTGAAGTGAATTACACCTGCAAGTGAAGTGAGTTATACCTGCAAGTGAAGTGAGTTGTACCTGCAAGTGAAGTGAGTTATACCTGCAAGTGAAGTGAGTTACACCTGCAAGTGAATTATACCTGCAAGTGAAGTGAGTTACACCTACAAGTGAATTATATCTACAAGTGAGTTGTACCTGCAAGTGAAGTGAGTTGTACCTGCAAGTGAATTATATCTACAAGTGAATTACACCTGCAAGTGAAGTGAATTATACCTACAAGTGAGTTGTACCTGCAAGTGAATTGTACCTGCAAGTGAATTATATCTACAAGTGAATTGTACCTGCAAGTGAAGGGAGTTACACCTACAAGTGAGTTATATCTACAAGTGAATTACACCTACAAGTGAATTATATCTACAAGTGATTTATACCTGCAAGTGAAGTGAGTTGTACCTGCAAGTGAAGTGAGTTACACCTGCAAGTGAAGTGAGTTACACCTGCAAGTGAAGTGAGTTGTACCTGCAAGTGAATTATATCTACAAGTGAATTATATCTACAAGTGAATTACACCTGCAAGTGAGTTACACCTACAAGTGAATTATATCTACAAGTGAGTTGTACCTGCAAGTGAGTTACACCTGCAAGTGAAGTGAGTTGTACCTGCAAGTGAATTATATCTACAAGTGAATTATATCTACAAATGAATTACACCTGCAAGTGAGTTACACCTACAAGTGAATTCTATCTACAAGTGAGTTGTACCTGCAAGTGAAGTGAGTTACACCTGCAAGTGAAGTGAGTTGTACCTGCAAGTGAATTATATCTACAAGTGAATTATATCTACAAGTGAATTACACCTGCAAGTGAAGTGAATTATACCTACAAGTGAGTTGTACCTGCAAGTGAATTGTACCTGCAAGTGAATTATATCTACAAGTGAATTACACCTGCAAGTGAAGTGAATTATACCTACAAGTGAGTTGTACCTGCAAGTGAATTGTACCTGCAAGTGAATTATATCTACAAGTGAATTGTACCTGCAAGTGAAGGGAGTTACACCTACAAGTGAGTTATATCTACAAGTGAATTACACCTACAAGTGAATTATCTCTACAAGTGATTTATACCTGCAAGTGAAGTGAGTTGTACCTGCAAGTGAAGTGAGTTACACCTGCAAGTGAAGTGAGTTGTACCTGCAAGTGAATTATATCTACAAGTGAATTATATCTACAAGTGAATTACACCTGCAAGTGAGTTACACCTACAAGTGAATTATATCTACAAGTGAGTTGTACCTGCAAGTGAAGTGAGTTACACCTGCAAGTGAAGTGAGTTGTACCTGCAAGTGAATTATATCTACAAGTGAATTATATCTACAAGTGAATTACACCTGCAAGTGAGTTACACCTACAAGTGAGTTATACCTGCAAGTGAAGTGAATTGTACCTACAAGTGAGTTGTACCTGCAAGTGAATTATATCTACAAGTGAGTTGTATCTACAAGTGAATTACACCTGCAAGTGAAGTGAGTTATACCTGCAAGTGAATTATATCTACAAGTGAATTACACCTGCAAGTGAAGTGAGTTGTACCTGCAAGTGAAGTGAGTTACACCTACAAGTGAATTACACCTGCAAGTGAAGTGAGTTGTACCTGCAAGTGAATTATATCTACAAGTGAATTACACCTGCAAGTGAAGTGAGTTGTACCTGCAAGTGAAGTGAGTTACACCTACAAGTGAATTATACCTGCAAGTGAAGTGAGTTGTACCTGCAAGTGAAGTGAGTTACACCTACAAGTGAATTGTACCTGTAAGTGAAGTGAGTTGTACCTGCAAGTGAAGTGAGTTGTACCTGCAAGTGAAGTGAGTTGTACCTGCAAGTGAAGTGAGTTGTACCTGCAAGTGAATTACACCTGCAAGTGAAGTGAGTTGTACCTGCAGGTGAATTACACCTACAAGTGAGTTGTACCTGCAAGTGAAGTGAGTTATACCTGCAAGTGAAGTGAGTTGTACCTGCAAGTGAAGTGAGTTGTACCTGCAAGTGAGTCATACCTGCAAGTGAAGTGATTTACACCTGCAAGTGAAGTGAATTGTACCTACAAGTGAGTTACACCTACAAGTGAGTTGTACCTGCAAGTGAAGTGAGTTACACCTGCAAGTGAGTTGTACCTACAAGTGAATTACACCTGCAAGTGAAGTGAGTTGTACCTGCAAGTGAATTATATCTACAAGTGAATTGTACCTGCAAGTGAAGTGAGTTATATCTACAAGTGAGTTATACCTGCAAGTGAAGTGAGTTACACCTGCAAGTGAGTTGTACCTACAAGTGAATTACACCTGCAAGTGAAGTGAGTTGTACCTGCAAGTGAATTATATCTACAAGTGAATTGTACCTGCAAGTGAAGTGAGTTATATCTACAAGTGAGTTGTACCTGCAAGTGAAGTGAGTTACACCTGCAAGTGAGTTGTACCTACAAGTGAGTTACACCTACAAGTGAGTTGTACCTGCAGGTGAAGTGAGTTGTACCTACAAGTGAGTTATACCTGCAAGTGAAGTGAGTTACACCTACAAGTCAATTACACCTGTAAGTAAAGTGAATTTCACCTGCAAGTGAGTTATACCTGCAAGTGAAGTGAGTTACACCTACAAGTGAATTACACCTGCAAGTGAAGTGAGTTACACCTGCAAGTGAGTTGTACCTACAAGTGAATTACACCTGTAAGTGAAGTGAGTTATACCTGCAAGTGAAGTGAATTGTACCTACAAGTGAGTTACACCTGTAAGTGAAGTGAGTTGTACCTGCAAGGCATTTGCTGCCCGTGGTCCGGGTGCCTCAGGGGCCGACTCCGGCTCTGCCGGTGGCTCCGAGACTTTCGCCTCCTTGGCGAACTCCAACTTGGAGCCCTCCTCCGTGGAGCCACGTTCTCCCCATCGCACCTGCAAGCACGGAGCATGCAGGTACACGTGTGAGTGTACACGTGTACACTAACACGTGTACACTAACACGTGTACATGTGTGAGTGTACACTAACACGTGTACACTAACACGTGAACTCCAACTTGGAGCCCTCCTCCGTGGAGCCATGTTCTCCCCATCGCACCTGCAAGCACGGGGCATGCAGCTAGTACACGTGCATGCAGGTACACGTGTGAGTGTACACGTGTACACTAACACGTGAACTCCAACTTGGAGCCCTCCTCCGTGGAGCCATGTTCTCCCCATCGTACCTGCAAGCACGGGGCATGCAGGTACATGTGCATGCAGCTAGTACACGTGCATGCAGGTACACGTGTACACTCACACGTGTACACTAACACGTGTACACTCACACGTGTACACTAACACGTGTACACTAACACGTGTACACTAACACGTGTACACGTGTGAGTGTACACTAACACGTGTACACTAACACGTGTACACTAACACGTGTACACTAACACGTGTACACTAACACGTGTACACTAACACGTGTACACTAACACGTGTACACTAACACGTGAACTCCAACTTGGAGCCCTCCTCCGTGGAGCCATGTTCTCCCCATCGCACCTGCAAGCACGGGGCATGCAGCTGGTACACGTGCATGCAGGTACACGTGTGAGTGTACACTCACACGTGTACACTCACACGTGTTAGTGTACACGTGTGAGTGTACACTAACACGTGTACACTAACACGTGTACACTAACACGTGTACACTAACACGTGTACACTAACACGTGTACACTAACACGTGTACACGTGTGAGTGTACACGTGTACACTAACACGTGTACACTAACACGTGTACACGTGTTAGTGTACACTAACACGTGTACACTAACACGTGTACACTAACACGTGTACACGTGTTAGTGTACACTAACACGTGTACACTAACACGTGTACACTAACACGTGTACACTAACACGTGTACACTAACACGTGAACTCCAACTTGGAGCCCTCCTCCGTGGAGCCATGTTCTCCCCATCGTACCTGCAAGCACGGGGCATGCAGCTAGTACACGTGCATGCAGGTAGTACACGTGCATGCAGGTACACGTGTGAGTGTACACGTGTACACTAACACGTGAACTCCAACTTGGAGCCCTCCTCCGTGGAGCCATGTTCTCCCCATCGTACCTGCAAGCACGGGGCATGCAGCTAGTACACGTGCATGCAGGTACACGTGTACACTCACACGTGTACATGTGTGAGTGTACACTAACACGTGTACACTAACACGTGAACTCCAACTTGGAGCCCTCCTCCGTGGAGCCATGTTCTCCCCATCGCACCTGCAAGCACGGAGCATGCAGCTAGTACACGTGCATGCAGGTAGTACACGTGCATGCAGGTACATGTGTACACGTGTACACTAACACGTGTACACTAACACGTGTACACTCACACGTGTACACTAACACGTGTACACTCACACGTGTACACTCACACGTGTACACTAACACGTGTACACTAACACGTGTACACTAACACGTGTACACGTGTGAGTGTACACTAACACGTGTACACTAACACGTGTACACTAACACGTGTACACTCACACGTGTACACTCACACGTGTACACTCACACGTGTACACTAACACGTGTACACTAACACGTGTACACGTGTGAGTGTACACTAACACGTGTACACTAACACGTGTACACTAACACGTGTACACTAACACGTGTACACGTGTGAGTGTACACTAACACGTGTACACTAACACGTGTACACTAACACGTGTACACTAACACGTGTACACTAACACGTGTACACTAACACGTGTACACGAGTGCGTGTACACTAACACGTGTACACTAACACGTGTACACTAACACGTGTACACTAACACGTGTACACTAACACGTGTTAGTGTACACGTGTGAGTGTACACGTGTACACTAACACGTGTACACTAACACGTGTACACTCACACGTGTACACTAACACGTGTACACTAACACGTGTACACTAACACGTGTACACTCACACGTGTACACTAACACGTGTACACTCACACGTGTACACTAACACGTGTACACTAACACGTGTACACTCACACGTGTACACTAACACGTGTACACTAACACGTGTACACTCACACGTGTACACTAACACGTGTACACTCACACGTGTACACTCACACGTGTACACTAACACGTGTACACTAACACGTGTACACTAACACGTGTACACGTGTGAGTGTACACTAACACGTGTACACTAACACGTGTACACTAACACGTGTACACTCACACGTGTACACTCACACGTGTACACTCACACGTGTACACTAACACGTGTACACTAACACGTGTACACGTGTGAGTGTACACTAACACGTGTACACTAACACGTGTACACTAACACGTGTACACTAACACGTGTACACGTGTGAGTGTACACTAACACGTGTACACTAACACGTGTACACTAACACGTGTACACTAACACGTGTACACTAACACGTGTACACTAACACGTGTACACGTGTGAGTGTACACTAACACGTGTACACTAACACGTGTACACTAACACGTGTACACTAACACGTGTACACTAACACGTGTTAGTGTACACGTGTTAGTGTACACGTGTACACTAACACGTGTACACTCACACGTGTACACTCACACGTGTACACTAACACGTGTACACTAACACGTGTACACTAACACGTGTACACTCACACGTGTACACTAACACGTGTACACTCACACGTGTACACTAACACGTGTACACTAACACGTGTACACTCACACGTGTACACTAACACGTGTACACTAACACGTGTACACTCACACGTGTACACTAACACGTGTACACTAACACGTGTACACTAACACGTGTACACTAACACGTGTACACTAACACGTGTACACTCACACGTGTACACTAACACGTGTACACTAACACGTGTACACTCACACGTGTACACTAACACGTGTACACTAACACGTGTACACTCACACGTGTACACTAACACGTGTACACTAACACGTGTACACTCACACGTGTACACTAACACGTGTACCTGCATGCACGGTGCACGTGGGTACACGTGCACACAGCTATACATGTATACACACGTTTATATACGTGTATAGCTACACAGTGCGCTAACCACTGCACCACCACTCACACACAGTGCGCTAACCACTGCACCACCACTCCCCACTCACACACAGTGCGCTAACCACTGCACCACCACTCCCCACACACACACAGTGCGCTAACCACTGCACCACCACTCCCTACTCACACACAGTGCGCTAACCACTGCACCACCACTCCCCACTCACACAGTGCGCTAACCACTGCACCACCACTCCCCCCACACACACAGTGCGCTAACCACTGCACCACCACTCCCCACACACACAGTGTGCTAACCACTGCACCACCACTCCCCACACACACACACTGCGCTAACCACTGCACCACCACTCCCCACACACACACAGTGCGCTAACCACTGCACCACCACTCCCCACCACTCACACACACACAGTGCGCTAACCACTGCACCACCACTCCCCACACACACAGTGCGCTAACCACTGCACCACCACTCCCCACTCACACACACACAGTGCGCTAACCACTGCACCACCACTCCCCACACACACACAGTGCGCTAACCACTGCACCACCACTCCCTACTCACACACAGTGCGCTAACCACTGCACCACCACTCCCCCCACTCACACAGTGCGCTAACCACTGCACCACCACTCCACACTCACACACAGTGCGCTAACCACTGCACCACCACTCCCCACTCACACACACAGTGCGCTAACCACTGCACCACCACTCCCCACTCACACAAAGTGCGCTAACCACTGCACCACCACTCACACACACACAGTGCGCTAACCACTGCACCACCACTCACACACAAACAGTGCGCTAACCACTGCACCACCACTCCTCACACACACACACAGTGCGCTAACCACTGCACCACCACTCCCCACACACACACAGTGCGCTAACCACTGCACCACCACTCCTCACACACACACAGTGCGCTAACCACTGCACCACCACTCCCCCCACACACACACACAGTGCGCTAACCACTGCACCACCACTCCCCACTCACAGTGCGCTAACCACTGCACCACCACTCCCCACTCACAGTGCGCTAACCACTGCACCACCACTCCCCACACACACACTGCGCTAACCACTGCACCACCACTCACACACACACAGTGCGCTAACCACTGCACCACCACTCCCCCCACTCACACAGTGCGCTAACCACTGCACCACCACTCCACACTCACACACAGTGCACTAACCACTGCACCACCACTCCCCACTCACACACACAGTGCGCTAACCACTGCACCACCACTCCCCACTCACACAAAGTGCGCTAACCACTGCACCACCACTCACACACACACAGTGCGCTAACCACTGCACCACCACTCCTCACACACACACACAGTGCGCTAACCACTGCACCACCACTCACACACAAACAGTGCGCTAACCACTGCACCACCACTCCCCACACACACACTGCGCTAACCACTGCACCACCACTCACACACACACAGTGCGCTAACCACTGCACCACCACTCCCCACACACACACTGCGCTAACCACTGCACCACCACTCACACACACACAGTGCGCTAACCACTGCACCACCGCTCCCCACTCACTCACACAGTGCGCTAACCACTGCACCACCACTCCTCAAACACACACACAGTGCGCTAACCACTGCACCACCACTCCCCACACACACACAGTGCGCTAACCACTGCACCACCACTCCCCACTCACACACAGTGCGCTAACCACTGCACCACCACTCCCCACACACTCACAGTGCGCTAACCACTGCACCACCACTCCCCACACACAGTGCGCTAACCACTGCACCACCACTCCCCACTCACGCACAGTGCGCTAACCACTGCACCACCACTCCCCACTCACTCACAGTGCGCTAACCACTGCACCACCACTCCCCACACTCACACAGTGCGCTAACCACTGCACCACCACTCCCCACTCACACACACAGTGCGCTAACCACTGCACCACCACTCACACACACAGTGCGCTAACCACTGCACCACCACTCCCCACTCACTCACAGTGCGCTAACCACTGCACCACCACTCCCCACACTCACACAGTGCGCTAACCACTGCACCACCACTCCCCACACACTCACAGTGCGCTAACCACTGCACCACCACTCCCCACTCACACACAGTGCGCTAACCACTGCACCACCACTCCCCACACACACACAGTGCGCTAACCACTGCACCACCACTCCCCACTCACACACACAGTGCGCTAACCACTGCACCACCACTCCCCACACACAGTGCGCTAACCACTGCACCACCACTCACACACACACAGTGCGCTAACCACTGCACCACCACTCCCCACTCACACACAGTGCGCTAACCACTGCACCACCACTCACACACAGTGCGCTAACCACTGCACCACCACTCCCCCCACACACACAGTGCGCTAACCACTGCACCACCACTCCCCACTCACACACAGTGCGCTAACCACTGCACCACCACTCACAGACAGTGCGCTAACCACTGCACCACCACTCCCCCCACACACACAGTGCGCTAACCACTGCACCACCACTCCCCACTCACACACAGTGCGCTAACCACTGCACCACCACTCCCCACTCACACACAGTGCGCTAACCACTGCACCACCACTCCTCACATACACACAGTGCGCTAACCACTGCACCACCACTCCCCACTCACACACAGTGCGCTAACCACTGCACCACCACTCCCCACTCACACACAGTGCGCTAACCACTGCACCACCACTCCTCACACACACACAAAGTGCGCTAACCACTGCACCACCGCTCCATTTTATTGCAAGTATAGTGACGTCACACGTCAGTGCAAAGTCTCGCGATATTATACATGGAAAGTCTCGCGATATAATAAATGGAAAGTCTCGCGATATTATACATGCAAAGTCTCGCGATATTATACGTGCAAAGTCTCGCGATATTATACATGGAAAGTCTCGCGATATTATACATGCAAAGTCTCGCGATATTATACGTGCAAAGTCTCGCGATATTACACATGCAAAGTCTCGCGATAATATACGTGCAAAGTCTCGCGATATTACACGTGCAAAGTCTCGCGATATTATACATGCAAAGTCTCGCGATAATATACGTGCAAAGTCTCGCGATAATATACGTGCAAAGTCTCGCGATATTATACGTGCAAAGTCTCGCGATATTAAACATGCAAAGTCTCGCGATATTACACGTGCAAAGTCTCGCGATATTATACATGCAAAGTCTCGCGATAATATACGTGCAAAGTCTCGCGATATTATACGTGCAAAGTCTCGCGATATTATACATGCAAAGTCTCGCGATATTATACGTGCAAAGTCTCGCGATATTATACATGCAAAGTCTCGCGATATACGTACGATATGTAGCACGA